CGATCATGCGTGACAATCGAGATTGATTGCCTCTTGTGGCGTCAGGGGTGAGAAAACTCCTTCTTCGCGATCGGCGGGCTCAAATGAACCATAGCGCAGCAATCAGGTGCACATTCTTGCTTAGACCTGTGCTTCAGGCGATATGCGTTTTGTAAAGCAGGCTATCTTGCGCAACTGCCGTCAGAGCACATGGGCACATCAGTTTTAGGATTGCGACTTGTTCTTAGGGGGGGGCTTCCCCTCATGCTGCGTACCAGGCACTTCTGGGCTCCGGCACACACGCTTGTGATTGCGGTCAGCTGCCTTTTCATTTTCACTTTTTGTCAGCGGAAAGGGGAACTGCGCTTTTGCATTTTGAAGCTTCACATGTCTCTTACTCTCCTGCTGGCCAGGCGACTTGCATCGCTTCGTGGAGCGGGGCGCCCTTTGCTAGCTGGTCTGTGGGTTGAAGTTCAATGGAGTCATCGTCCGAAGGAGTGATTGGGGCTTTCGATTCACTTATGCCATTGCAGACTGTGGTTCGTCCCTCGCGGTCGGGGGCTGATCATCCTGTTCGCTTGTCAGAAGCTGCTCGCAGACCACGGGGCAATTGGATTGCGCCGAACCCTCTGTCTCAGCCGGCGGTTAGACCTCGACGTTCAGCACCCTACATTAGGGAGGCCCCTGTTCCCATTCCTGCCCCTCGCAGAGCTGCAGATTATTTCAGGCATGCACCAGTTAGGCATCAAGCTCCGATTGGGCCTGCCGTGGACTCCGCTGGGTCGGCACCTGCAGGTTCGACTCGCAGGCCTTTCAACGCACCATTCAATTTGGTTGGTGGGGCTCGCACTCGGGGTCCTGAGGGCTTCAAATCATCTGCGATGTTGCACGCTGAAGTCTGGCAGCGGTGCTTGAAGTTGTGGGCCCTGGTTCAACCATGGTTACAGACGATTTCTTCAGTGTTGCAGGAGCTCGGGGATTCTCGTCACGCTTCAACCCTGTTGCAGAATCTGCTGAAGTCGGTTTCGGAAAACACTTTGGTTCGATATTTGGCTCATCTGCTGAAGTTCGTGGGAACATTACAGGATTTGAACGTGCGCTGGGAGTCTATTCGACAGCTTGAAGTGGTCGATGCTCTTCTGTCTATGCACAAGTCAGGCTCACACGTCACAAATGGTTTGAAGGCTGTTCGCTGGGCAGCCAAGACGTTTGGGCTCGCCCTGCCAGATCTCTATGGAGGTCTTTTGGTTGGAGTGGAGGCTCGCATTACTTCCGACAGAAAGGAGGCTCTTCCTCTTCCGATTTATGTTTTGGCTTACTGTGAGCGTGCTCTTCTACTGGAGTCGGGCTCCGTGGGTTTCAGATTGTTTTTGGGCGCAATTCTCATTTCGGCATCGGCAAGCCTACGCTTTTCCGATGCGCAACACATTTTATGGACATCGATTCAAGCTGCTCAAGATAATGTGAGGGCCATTTCATATCGAACAAAGTCATCCCGGCGGGGGATGCCATTTGGCTTCGTTTCTTGTGGTTACTACGGCGATTCAGGGTCCTACTATCACAGTTGGGTGTGCAAATACCTTTTTCTGTTGGGCTCCGAATGGGATTCAATTGTTTCGCGCTTTGGGGAGACAGTGCCGGATGCTTTATTCTTCATCTCCAGCTCAACAGAATGGCAACCCATGAGCTACGCGCAAGCTTTGTCGGCATTCAGGGGGATTCTGGTGTTGGCTGGCATGAGTCCCACAGAGGCCTCCTCATACACTCTACATTCCTTGAAGACTTGTCTATTGGCTGCGTTGGCACAACTGCAGGTGTCTTTTCGCAAAAGAGGCCTTCAAGGTCATCACAGAACCGGACAGAATGGCTGCATTCTTCTTTATAGCAGGGATGATGTACATGGGGCACTTTCCCTTCAACAGCTCTTTTGGGATCGGGTCCGTAGCAATTGGATGCCGCTGAACCCTCAGGCTCGCGGCGGTCAGCAACCAGCTGCTCAACAAGCCATCGAACCAAAGGTCTTGTCCTACTCGTCATCTCCTGCTCATCATCGCTTTCCGGTGGAGGCTGGCTTATTGGCGTCCTCAGTGCGGACCCCGATTCAGGAGCAAGCGCAGGCACATCCTCAGCCCGAGGAACAGCAGGAATCATCAGATTCGGACATTGATTCTTCATCATCTTCTTCGTCGTCGGCTTCGTGCAAGAAGAAAGGTGCGGTAGTGGCTGCAGTCAATAGGTTCTCGGAATCGGATGAGCAGATTTGGGTTCAGACATCTTCTGGCATCATTCATGCTGCTACTCCCTGCTCCGGGTGTGATGGGGTTTTGGTGAAGCGCGAGGACGGTGAGCTTGTTCGGGTCAAGCCGAGATGTGGCACTTTGGCGCACAACATGAAGATCAGGCCTGAGCTTCCGTCGAATCCCCGATTTTGCCGACGTAAAGCATGTCAGGCGATTTTTGTGTCATAGGTTGGTGGCTGGTGCAGCTTCAGTCGGCCAGCAAATTCTTTCGCGCACTGCACTGTCGGGTATGGCGATCCTCGCATGCGACGGCAAGCGAGCCGGGCATCGAGGGGACTGTTTCTGCGCAAGGGCGATCGGTACACATCCGGGACTGAAGAGCGGCACACTTTGCGGCAATTTTGGATGTCAGAAAAGGCGCTGGAGAAACATGTATGTGCAGTACGTTCAAGTGTTGTTGCGGCAAATGATTCCACAGCGGGCGGCAGGTTTGGAGCTATTGTCATGTGATCGAAATTCACTGCGGTTTATGCCCGGGTGGATTAGGGTGTCTTGGGCAGCCAGTCAGGGAACGTCGGCTGACTTGCGGTCCCGGCGGAATCGCGGCCGGTGACGTCGAGTGTGAGTTTGCTTCCCATGATCTCGTTTGGCTTGCCGGCTCCGGCACCAGATTTCATGCAGGCTCGTAGCTGGCTTCTTTTGGTTTCCATTGTGCTAGGGCGATGACGGATGGCGAACCAGAAGCTCTGCCTCCGCTGCTGAACGAAGCTTTGGTGGCCTTGGCAGATCAGTGCAAAGTCCCACCAGATTACCATGGGATTCTTGCGGGGTTTGATGTCAGCCTTTTCGGCTGCATTGCGGCTGATTCCTCAGCTTTGGATGAGGCGCTCAAGGATCTGCTCGAGGGCGCTGTGGAACCGCCTTCCACTGCTCAGCGCCTGCTTCTGCTGTCTTCGTTACGACTGCTTTACGAGACTTGCCGTCAGCAGTCGTCAGCAGCTCGTCAGGACAAGCGCCAAGATGAGAACGACATCACTTCGGGGTTTTCTACATCAAGCTGGTCCGAACAGTTTCCCCCCAAGCTTTCAGGCGAGCGTGTGATGTCTCTTCAGAAACAGTTTCACGCCCGCTACCCGGGGGAGATCTTAGATCCCGACAATTATCCGTCGGCCAGGTTGCTAGCCTATGTGGCTAAGGTCGTTCAAAAAGGAGAGCTGCGGTGGATCCCGTGGAAACTCAGGATGAGCCAGGCCCAACAAGACTCCCTGGCCTTGCGGCGCCCAGCTAAGGTGCCCCGGTTAGAAGAGCTGATATACGACGACGTGCCCCAGCGTGAAGTACCAGCTGGAGCAGTTGGCGCGAACTATCTCTCGGGCATCTTGGGCTTGGTTTCAGTGGCTGTAGCGATGCTTCAGGGCGAGCACCTTGCGAGCCTTCGCAAGTTTGAGCATTTTTGCGAGGCGGGCATTCGCAATCCTTTTGCTGAGGAAATCATGCAAGCAGAAGCAGATCGTCAGCTATGGTGCCAGATGGCTGATCTGGTCAATCTTCATGGCTGGTCCTTGGATGATGCTCTGACAGAGTACACGGAGATCAGGGGGGACATGGCTTCGTTGCTGCAGTCCCGGGTGGCGGTGCCCAGAAAGTTTGATATCCCACCTGGTCTTCGAAGGCTTCCTGGGGGCAAAGGCAAGCAGAAGGGCGGCGGCAAAGGTCGAGGCGCGAATGGGGGTCAGTCTGGTCAAACTGGTGCAAAATGGATCACGAAGTTTGAGGACAAAGGTAAGACTCGTCTCCTGTGCCGGGACTACTCTGCGGCTAAGGGCTGTTCCTTCACGGATTGCAAATTCGAGCATTTGTGTCCGGTACCGCGCCCAGACGGCCGACCGTGCTTGGGCAAGCACCCGGCGCATCAGCGTAAGGCTATGCTTCACTGACTCTCGGATGATTCCTCGGATGTCAGGACGGGCAGGTTCGATGCCGCGGAGCTGGTGCATAGCAGCCATAGCAGCTCTCAGCAAGATTTGGATTGGGAGACATGTCTCTCCGTTTTGCAACAGCACTGTCCAGGATCAACTCAGTTGCTTCGGACAAAGGTTCTGGATGGTTGCCGGAGCCATGCTAGCTACTCGGGCTCTCTTGGCGGCCTTTGTCGCTTCACCTTGGAAAACCCCAAGTTGGTGGAGTATGTAAATCTTTTCTTACAGTCAGTCTTCCCTGATGGGACATGGTCTAGTTTCTGCATATCGCACAACGAATTCGCTCATCTTCATTCGGATTTCAATGCCCCAGGCTCTTTGAATCACTCTTGCAGCTTGGGGGCTTTCGACAAAGGGGGCCTCTGGATCCAGGTCGCGGATTCGGCATTTCCGGAGCATCTCTCGGGTTCCTCCCACGGACGCTCAGGCTGATCAAACATTGCGCGGTTGCATTTTCAACACTCGAAGGTCAGGGCTCTCTTTCGACGGTTCCCTACCACATTGTTCGGAGCCTTGGACTGGGGACCGGTGGGTCCTGACAGCATATACTTCGGCCCAACTGCCGGGGGTATCGGCGAGTGATGTGCAGCAGCTGCGGGATTTGCACTTTCCGCTGCCAGATTCTTCATGTCAAGCGGCCGCTTCAGAATTGTCTGGGGCAGGGATTCTTCCGGCTCCACCTTCAGTGCTTGATCTCTCCAAGGTGCGCGGGAATCTTTTCCTGGATCTGTTTGCTGGTCATGCTCGGCCACTATCGTCTGCTTTCTTGCAAGCTGGGGTATCGGTTCTTTCGGTGGATACAATGTTGGCTTCGGAGCATGATCTTCTGGATGATTCGGTTTTTGAACCTCTTTTGCGATTGAGCTTTTCGGGAGCGGTCACCTCGGCTCATGCATCGCCACCATGCCGGGAGTATTCCAGGTGCAAGCTTATCCGGCCTGGTCCGAAGCCTTTGCGCACCCCGGAACATTTGGCAGGGATCCCAGGTCTTTCTTCTTCCGAACAAGAGCGAGTGGACGCCAGCCGGACTTTGATGGAGCGGGCCGTCGAGCTTCTGCACGCCACCTACAAGGCTGGCGGGCATTTTAGCCTTGAAAATCCAGCAAACAGCATGCTTTGGCTGGAAGAAGCGGTTCGCATTCTGCTTCAGAAGGCCAATGCCGATGTGCTTGTGGCAGCGGCTTGCGCTTACGGTTGGGATATCTCGAAACGCTGGGTTTCGCTACCTCTTTTCGGGATATGCAGCGATTGGCCAAGGATTGCTCACATGCCGAGGGCTCTCATCGTCCTGTTGCAGGGGTTCGGGATGAGTCCGGAGGTTATGCCTCTCAACAGACATCTGAGTTCTCCGCGAAGCTCGCGGAGGCTTATGTATCGGCCGCTCTCCCACTGTTTTCGACATGCGAAAATCCTTTGGATGTCCAGCTGTCTCAGCTATATCAGCTAATCCCTGCTAAAGGTCGCTTCGACATGCCTTTCGCGCATCAAGATGGGGCTGGCATCTACTCGGTCCCCGACTGGTCTTTTCCCCCGAATGGGACGGTTGACAGACTTCAGCAGGTCAGGCATGCTCTGACTCAGAAGCTTTTTGAGTTGAAGGCCCCGATTCGCTTGCGAGAACATGTCCTGGCCAAGTCGGATTCTCCATTGTTTTCGGAGGGAGAGATTGAAAGCTTTCGGGCCATCTTTTCAGAGTTCTTGGTGGCCACGACGGGCCGTCCGGTGGACTGGTCGGTTCAACCTTTTCAGCCGTACACTCTCAATGCACTACAGCAACTGTCAGAGGCCTTGGAAGATCCCGACGACACTCTGTTCGCTTGCCTCCAATCGGGCGCTCCCACTGGTTACTTCAAGGACATCCCGAGAAGCGGGGTCCTGCGCCGGAGGCGACAACTTCGGAGGAGCAACCTTTGATGGAGTGCCAAGAGAATTGGAAAGGAGCTCGCGAGAATCCAGAAACTCTGGAGTCCTTGATACAAGAAGAACTGGATAACGGCTACTTGGAGGAGGTCACACTTGAGGAGGCTCGCTCCAGGTGGCCGGAGGTTGCCGTTGGGAAACTCAACGTTGTGATCGTGCCGGACAAAAACCCTCGCTTGACGGTCGATGAAACAATATCTGGCGTGAACCCGGCTTGCCACATTCCGGAACGCTACAACTTGCCGGGCCAGTTTAGATATTAAGGCGGCGCACAAGTCCATTCTCATGCAGGAGAGGGACCGTGGTTTATCTGGAATCACTTGCAACGGCAAGACTTATTTCTATCGGGTCATGCCCTTCGGCATGAGCTGCTCAGCCTACTGGTGGCAGCGTCTTTCCGGCTTCTTTATGCGAACCTGGCATCTTCTGGTGTTCTTGGCTCACTTCATGTCCATGTACGTGGACGATTTGATATTAGCCATGGCCTCTGGTGCCTTGGACATCTCAGCTTGTCTGCTTCTCGCCTTTGCAGCAGCTTTCGGTATCAGGTTGTCGTGGCCTAAATTACAATTACAACTGGGTTCTGATTGTCTTTGGATAGGCTGGCAGTTGTCTTATCGGGCTGGTACTGTTCGGGTTCCGCAGTCTAAAAGGGAGAAATTGCGCGGCCTGCTGAATCCCCTGCTGGTTGCGGGCCCAGTAGAGCTGAAGCTGATCCAACAAGCTTTGGGACTTCTTCAATGGATCACGCAACTTCACAAGGAGCTTCGTCCTTGGCTTTCTTCTTTGTATGATGACATTTCGAGGCCGCCGGGGACGTCATTTTCCATTGAGCCATCTCGGTGGGGATCGTTGGCTCCTTGCTTGTCGGAGGCGATGGTTTTCATCTCCACTCCAGCAGGCACGGCTATCCCAGTGGGCTCTAAGCTGCTGAGTGCTCGGCACATCGAACTGTGGAAGAAATCGGATTTGGCCAAGGTTCCGCTTACTTCCAAGCGGGTATGGATGAGGATTGCGGATCCTCAATCTCGCTTTCGGCGCTTATCTGGGCTGAGCAGGCGCCTTTTGCAATTCTGGTTTGATTGGTGCGGCTCACATCAATTTCACGAATGTTTGATGCTTCCTCAGCGCTCTCTTGATGCTACCATGGCTGCTGACGCTTGTGCTCAGGGTACTTCGATCGGCGTTGGCGGCTTCATCACGTTGCCGGGCTCGGATTCCTTGTGGTTCTCCGAGCGTTACGATCTGGCCGAAATCAAGTATTTGGAACTTCCGCTGCATTCCGAAGCGCAGAAGGACATCTCATGCTGGGAAACATTGGCTCAAGTGGGCCTCATGCTTCTCTTTGGGCACCTGTGCCCTGGCGGGCGTATGAGAATTTGCGTTCCATCGTTCTGCGACAATTCTGGTGCGGAGTCTATTTGTGCGAAGCTTCTGACGACGAAGTCGCCTCTTTGTTTCTTTACCCAACTGGTGGCGATGATAAGCACTCGCATGGGGATCAGTCTGGATGTGCAACGCATCGCGGGTGAGCGTAACATTGACGCTGATTTCCTGTCCAGGTGGGATGGTGTCAGCCCTTTGCCTGCACCATGGAATCCCGACTTCAGATACCGCTTCACAGTCGCGGATTTCTTCGATCTACGTCATGATGTGCGGCTTTTCCCAGCCGATGCCAAGCTGCTTTGGAAGCTGCCGCGATGAGCTCTGATCAGTGCGCCTGAACGATTCCTGAAATCTGCATGCATGCATTCTCTTTTCCATAGGTGTTCGTCTCACTTAATTGTGGGGCGTGCATGGCGATTCCTCCACCTATGTTTCTGTGCTGTGGCAGTTGCTGTTTGGGCCTTGCTTAAACCGAGATTCCAGATGCTTTCAGATCTTACTTCTGCGATTTCCGCCACTGCACAAAACATAGGGCGAGTGGAGCGAGTTCGGTATGTGATGTATTATAGATTGGATTGGAATCTTATTTGATTACACTTTGATACATAAGCGTTTCGAGATTGCTTTTGATATATACCGATTACCTGTGAGCACGCTACTGGAACTTTTGAGCTGTGCTTTTGGGGGGGAATGCAAAATGCGTTTCGTATTTGAACGGTTATCGTGTTTACTCGATCCTGTTTAAATATCAAACCATTTTGCTTTTGCCTGCGGGCCCGTTTGCGATTTTGTATTCCCTCCTTTTTGCATGCGGCATGTCATGTTTTCTTGGAGCCCTTTTCGCATCTTTATCGGATGCCGCAGCGAAGCCGGCTCACGAGAGAGCTGTTGCGTTTTTGATTTGCCCACCCTCCACTCCCCTTTGTGGGAGCCGGCTCTCAGTATGCATCTTTGCAGCTGCTGCGCGTTTAGGTGCAGCTAATCTTTCAAGTCTTCTGTCTTCCGCAGACCACACGTCGTTGCGGTCGATTCAGGACGAATGTCTCATGACCATTCGCTGGCGCTTTTCTTCGGGGACAAAGTCCCTCCAGGGGGTTTCTTGGTTTATCTGGGTCCCAATGGGGCCTTGCTTAAACCGAGATTCCAGATGCTTTCAGATCTTACTTCTGCGATTTCCGCCACTGCACAAAACATAGGGCGAGTGGAGCGAGTTCGGTATGTGATGTATTATAGATTGGATTGGAATCTTATTTGATTACACTTTGATACATAAGCGTTTCGAGATTGCTTTTGATATATACCGATTACCTGTGAGCACGCTACTGGAACTTTTGAGCTATGCTTTTGGGGGGGAATGCAAAATGCGTTTCGTATTTGAACATGGAATGTCTGTGGGCAAGTCATACATACAAGCCTCCGGCTGCTGAATTTTGGCTCAAGCTGTGGGACGCTCACCAATGTTTTGCTTGCTTCGTGCACTTGTCGTTTCGCCGGACGACTGTTCGTTTCCATTCGAAGCAGCACGGCACGGTGGATGCCATGATCGCGGGCGTGTTTAATGAACCAGAGTTTGACTCCGGCATGTTTGTCCACCCGGAACACAAGCCTTTTGAACCTTTTGCGCAATGCTACCAATGGAGGACGTGGCTGTGGGTTCGGACGCGGCTCCTTCTCTGCAGATTCAACCGGAAGGTTTGTTGCGGAAGGCGACTGCGGAATCGTACCGCAAGGAAACACTTTCCGACACTCTCAAGGTCCTTCAAAACTTTCCAATGAAAGCTCTCCAGTGCCACTTTGCACGATGACCGGCGGATCGCTCAGGCTTCCTTCTGCGGTTGGAGCCTGACTTGCGCTTATGGGAGGGGTCGTTGGACTTATGAACGCACGCGCCCTCTGCTGCACGACTCTCCGCAGTTTCTCAACGCAAGCAGCGGGATCCGTGTTGCGGGACATGGAAAGCTTGGACGCCGCCAGTCTCAGCCTTGCCTTGGAAGCTGGGGTTACAGGGATCTGTTGTCACCTCAAGGGCTGCTCCTAAGAACAGATGGAAGTGGAGGACCAGCTTTTTTCATTTCCCGATGCCACCACTTCTCTGGACTTTGCTTTTCTCTTTTTCTTTGCTTTTTTCTTTTGGAAGCTCTTCTTTTTTTAAGGCTGGAATATGGCACCGTAGTTAGGTCAGTTAGGTTTTTTTGACCTTGTCCAATTTGCATCCATGTTCAACTCTAGATCACAGAATGTTTTCAAACTCCAAGTTCAAAGCCCGAACACTAATGTTTGGACTCTGAGTTTGAACACCTTCGTTCGAAATCTGACCTTGCATCACCCGCAAGCACAACCGCAAAACGCGCACCCTGCTCAGTACCAAGGCCGCTTTCGGATATATTTGCCGCTGTCAGTTTTTTTGACTCGCTTGGATTGCGGCCCTCAGCACAGTTGTGCTTGCAGCCTGCAGAACTGCTGACGGGTGCTTTAGCACGTGTCCACCAACCGTTCTGGCAGTCTGGCTGCCAATTCACCGGCCCTCTTTTTCAACAAGCCGCAGCTTACGGGATGCCACCAACGCAAGGAATGGCTTTTAGTACGCTTTGAATAATGAACACATGGCGGAGGCAGACAGCTGGCAGCGCTTTCCGAACGGTATTGGGCGGAGCGTGAGCCAGCAGCACGCATACCCCCCCAGACACGCGTGCTCCATTTCATTGGAATGTGTGTCTTGGCCATTCGGCCGTGCGGCAACTGCAGTTTTCCGCTATGATGGCTGTGACGCTGATGTATGGTTCCGTTCTTTTCTGCTTTTTGGAGGGCCGGGCGGAACGTGGACCAACGCTACATGACTTCCCTCGGCACTCGTTTACTTCATTGGTGCGCGTGTCCTGGCCATTCGGCCATGCAGCTTCACTGAAGCTCTCGGATGTGCGGAAGGGAGTGCGAAGTCAGGTCCCAATGTCTGTTTCCTGGCTTTTTAATTGGGCTGATTGACTGAGTGGGACGCGCAATAGGGCCCTTTTTCCGCTTGGTCCATCGATTCTGCACTACAGTCGTGTCTGGCACCTACCAACGGGGATGTGGGCCATTGGGCGACCCTTAATTACGGGAAGCGGGGCCATGCCTTGTGCTTTGCCATTGCGCGACCCAAGTTTACGGGAAGCACGGCCGGTGAGCGCAGTAGAACCGATTGCATATTAATTAATGCTGAACGACTTTGCCGGCTAAGTCTGTATGTCGCAGCCACCTTGTTTCACTTTGTTCAGCTGTTAGTTGCTTCTTATTCTTACTTTCTTGTTCTAGGGACCGAGCGCAGCAGCCGCTGTCACCGAGGCCCATTCACGCCAAAAAACGTTCCGTTCGAACTTTGGGTTCGATCACCAGTGTTCGAACCCAGAGTTCAAATAGATTTCTTTTCTTTTCTTCCAAAAGCGTTTTCGTGTGGCTTTCTCCTTCCTCTTTTTCGTAGTATTAGTAGTATTCGTAGTATTAATAGTATTCCTAGTGTTCGTAGTACTAGTAGTATTATTAGTATTAATAGTATTGATTGTATTAGTAGTATTTGGAGTATTAAATAGTAGTAAGTGTAGTACTAGCAAGTGTAATATTAGTAGTATTAGTCGTAAGTAATAGTAGTTCTAGCAGGGTTCGAACACCGGTGTTTGAACCCTGGGTTCAACCACTGGTGTTTGAACTCTGAGTTCAACCTCCGTTCCAAATGTTTGAACTCAGGGTTCAACTCGAGTTCCAATGTTATGTTCCGAGCCCCCCGGACCCCCCCAGGTGTTCGAACCCAAGGTTCGAACACCCTGCAAAAACCTATGCTCGGTCCTCGGAGACTTGCAACAGGCCCCGTTTCTGCAAGACTGCGGGCTCAGGATTCTGCTCACACAGGCATGCATTCGCAAACTGCTTCCACGTTGGGCTGCCTCGCCATGCCTGTACAATGTGTGCTTGCCTGGAAGTCGCAACAGCACGCACATAACCTCGTCCTTTTGTATCGTTTCTCCGCTATCTTTCGTGTGTTTGTTTGTGTGGTCTGCGCCGGTTTTACCGGGAGAACAAAACTCGTCTCCTTAACTACGTCTTTCGAGGCGAGTTGGATGCCTGGCCGCGCAGAAAGACCTTCTGCCCCTTACAGTCCCGCCATCCGGCCTCGTGCGACATCAGTAAGCCTACCTAAGGCCCACACCTGTTGGGGGGGGATATCATACTGATGTCTGCCTACCTGGACCTCCCCTCCACCTTGCCACCATTGCCGATGGACTTTGGACTTCCGAGGTGAGTTGGATTCCTGGCCTCGCAGAGACCTCGCGCCGTTAACAGATGTTAACAGCTCCGCATAGCTCCGCCATTTGGCCTTGAACGACATCAGTAAACGCCCATTGACAATCCTCACCTTCTGCAATGGTTTGCATTAACGCCGCCACGGGGCAACCGACAGCCGAGCCGTGAGCAGGCCTGTGCTCATTTGGATCTGGGGGAAGTCATACTGATGTCTACCCACCAGGGCCATATGACCATTCCTGCCCTTGCCACCACTGCCGTTTGTCGTTGGACTTTTGGACTTTGGTGTGCACGACTTCGCTAAAAAAACAGGGCGCGAGGGTTGACCGTTGTCCGACTAGAACGGCTGCCGGAGCCCTGCTTTGGGTTGCACTCGTTGTCCTGGGTGACTTCGGACGACGGTCCGCTGTTGCTTTAGCTGGAGGTCACTGAGCGCGAGGCCACCTTTTTACTTGCTGAACAGCTCATGCTGACAAAGTCCGCACGTTGCAGCACGTACGTAACCTCGTCCTCTAGCTTTTCCGTTTCACCGCTGTTTTGGGTGTGTTTGTTCGTTTGTTGTTGTTTATTGCGACCGAGTGCTGCAGCTGCAGCCACCGAGGCCCGCAGACGCCAAAAAAGAAACTGCACACAATTCCTGAAACCCAAAGAAAGTCACGTGTTCCCCTGTGTCCTCCGGCAGTGGGGTCCTCTTAGGCTGCTGCAGCTTTCCTTAGCCGCGACTGCGTAAAATCCTTCTTCTTGGGCGGCGTCGGTGTACCGAGGTTGCTCGTACCGCAGCCAGTGCCACCCTTGTGGCATTGTGACAGTCTGGGTATGCCGTAGCTGTCGCGCAACTTGGGCTACCAAATAGCCCTGGTGCATCTGCCAGTTGATGCCTCTCGACTGCCCCATCGTATGGTGCACTGTGGTCAGCGCCGGCGCCGGCTCCATAGGCGAGTGGCACTCAACCCACTCGCCCCGTTTGCCCGGTGTAGCGGCGTAGCGGATCACCATGCATGGCTGAGGCGACCCGCTATCATGGCCCCTTAAGCCATTGAGGCAAGCCATCAAAAGTTGCGCTCACCCCCTCTTAGCGAACGGCGCAACGTGCCGGAGACACTCCCACCTTTTCTGGGCACCCCGAAAAGGTCCAGAGCTAACAAGCAGCCACCAGGCTCCCGATGGCTTGTTAAAAAATGGGGACGGGCTAATCGCAGGGCTCACGCCACCATTGCAGCGGAGGTACAAAGTAGCCGCTCTCCTAGTCAGGCTAGGTAGTAGGTGAGATAGTCCTGTCGGTCGCTACCATCCACGTCGCTGCACAATGTTGCTCAAACACGACGATATTGGCTCCCGCGCCTGAGGCTGCAAGGAGCACGAGGTCAATGTCAGCTCCGGTGAGCTGGTACCCTGGGTCGGCCGTCAAGTCATTGTGATACAAGTCTCCATGCCGAATGTTGACGCCGGGATCCAGGCAACGCCACGACGGAGGGCATTGAGCCATGGCCGGGCAGCGGCGCGAGGCAACCGCCCAGGGCGGGTGTCAGACCGACAGTATGTCCCCGTTATGGAAAAGACTCGGCGCGTCACTCCCGGTAGGCCTGGTAGCCGCGTCCGCGGCCGTCCAAGTAGGTGTTGGTGCCACTGCCACTTCTACGGAGGCGATGATGTAGCCATGGAACCCCCAGCCCGAGTCATTGGCAGACTCAGGGCTGCCCTGCCCGAATGTCAATGTGCCGCGCCACGACCTCTTTCAGCTGACGTCGTCGGTCGCATTGGACACTGCTTTCGTGATGTTTGTATTGGCCCTGGCCGCTCAATGCGGAGCCAATTGCGTCGTTTCGGAGGCTGGATGTCGCAGGGCCTGCGTGAAGCTAGTGCCGAGTCAGCTGCCATGAATGCGCCGATAGGAGGTGTGACAGGCGACTGTATGTCCTCCAAACTCTGAAAAGCTGCAGCTAACCAAAATGCAACGTGTCCCATAACATCATGTGTATCAGCTGGCACTGGCAAGGCTCTCTGCACTCTGCAAGCGGCCCCACTTTTAACAAACCGTCGCACCTCCCGCAAGGACCGTGCCCAACCGAGAGAGGAAACGTGACAGGCGACAGTATGTCCCCCTTTCCCCTTGGAAAACCTAGCAAATCTTGCAAAACAGCACAAGTTGCTGCTTGATTGCCAAGGTTTTGCAAGAAGCGTTTATTTTGTCAAATGAGGTCGGCGGAACGAGCTGTATGAGAGCTTTAGATGATCGTGTGCACGGAAACGAGCGAAGGTCCGATTGTCTTCGGCGTGGCATTTCAATGAGGCATGGAATCCCGAACGCTACGGCCGCGACGTTTTTGAGCATTCAAGAGATTTTCTTGACGAAAATGTGGCTCAACAAATTCAGCAACAAGGATGAAACGAGAATTAAGCAATAATGCACCAACAATGACTCAATGATGTCGCAATCTTTGTTTGAAGCCGGAGTGCAACCGAGTCACGGCTACAACAAGCGTGCGCTGCTTGGGCAAATTCTTGTAGAAAAGCTGCTGTGACGACAACACACAATTTTGTTTTACGAAAACTTGACGCGACTTTGACAAGTACCATTTTAGTGTCATCTCCAGTGGCACAGTGGATGTCCATGGTCATGGAGCAATTGTTTTTTGTATTTTGATGCGGCAGCTCCGAGCTGCATGTGACCCACTTGAATATGCTTTGAAATCATTGAGTCGTAGGTCGTAGACTTACAGTGCTACGCAGTTGAGTGCAGTAACGAACCAACGACCGTTTGTGGCAGTGCTCTGAAAAGACTGCAAGCTTGCTGAAGCTTCGTAGGGGCGGTGTTTATCATTGTGCTTCTTAAAACGCCATGTATTTTTATCATGATTTGCTTTGCAGGGTTTCATGCACTCTTTCGTTTCAAATGTGACTGCGCTATACTCCGCATCGATGACTGAGGCTCGGATTCATTTGCTTTCGCGCGCGAATGTGCAATTGAATTCCCACTGCACCACATGAAAAATGCAACGATGTTTTGTTTTGCTTGATTCGGCCTCCATCGATGGTGGCGGCCGCACCCAGTGTGAACAAGAAGACTGAGACAAACAAGAAAGCACGCCGTCGACTTTCCGATTTCTTCTACTCTGAGCCAGCATGTCGCTGCGGGCATGGATGGCTGCGTTAGATCATTTTTTTGGCTTGATGCCGGTCTAAGAGTTGGTTGGTTGGTTGGTTGGTTGGTTGGTTGGTTGGTTGGTTGGTTGTTTGGTTTGTAAGCCTGCAGGGAAACCGCCCGCACTCTGCCCCTCCGCATCTCAGGGCAGCTCCAGAAGGTTTTCGGCGTCTGCGAGCCTCGATGGCCATGACTACGGCCCTCGGTCCAAAGAAACAAATGAACTCGCAAACACAAACGAATACAGTGGAGATTGCTTAGCTCATATCCTCCCCTCCGATTCCCTTTCTCTGTTTTTCTCTCCTGTTGCCTCTTCCTTCTCACTCGAGTTCTCTTCTCTCCTCCCATCTCACGCGCTTTGGCTGTATCATTACTCCCTCTTTGTCTCAGACCCTTCGTGGAGGGTAGCCATGACGCTTTCGGGGTGTCTTGATCAGTTCAGGTTTCTCTATTTTGTGCGAAGATTCTTACCCTTGTGGCTTGCGGCGTTGCAGGCTGCTTTGTGCGACTTTCTACCTGCCACCTGTGCCAGACGCGACACTGGCTGACTTAGCTGAGCCAGATGTTTTCGCGTCTGGTTTGATCCGGCTGGTGCGTGCGACTGGCATCATGTCCTTCAGGCATCGTGCCGGTTGGCTTGCTCCGCATCCTAAAACACAGCCAAAGTGCTTGCTCGAGACATGGACTGCCATGTTAAACTGCGTCCCATTCTAAACTACTGGCAAGTGCTAAATAATTCATAATAATTCCAGCCAAAGACTGAGAAACTTATGATTTAAGCAATTTTCCAGCCAAACCAGCGAACAAGAAGACATTAACAGATTTCAGTTCAAAGTTTTTTGAGCGCAGTTTTGAATAGATCGAAATTTCGGTGTCTCTTTGTTTGGGTTAGTGGTGGAATGCTCAATTCCGGTGTTTTTGCCCACATGTTGTTTGTGCAAACAGATGCAACAGCATCGTTTGAACAAAAAAAAAGAGAAAGAAAACACGAATCGCTTTAGAAGCTGCAATTCGGCAGAAATCGAATGTGTCGAAAAGCCACAAGAATCTAAGAGTTCGAAACAAATATGTTTGTCTTTTCGCCCGGGACTGGACCTGGTCGACCCAGGTGATTGAAGAATTCCGAAAGTGACAACATTTCCGACGTTTTGCTTCGTTGATTGTGTCTCATGTGTGCCGGTGGTTTTGATGTGCGACATCAACGGGTCCACATGTATCCTCAGGACGACTACCTGTTTTGATTGAGTTCTGAAGTGAAAGCATGAGAACAAGTGTGAACACGAGGTGGTTCGTTCAAAGTTTCATCATGGATAAACTGAATGACTCCAAGAATGCGACATTTTCACGCATAATCCCGGCTCTTACAAATTGTGGTATCTCTTCTACGGCAACTGGATCACAATGGGTCGAGCCGTTAATGAACGCGTTACGCCATATTCCGCTGCATTCTGCTCGGTGAATATCCCAATATCTCATTTGTTCATCCGGTCATCTGCGTACGTCTCACCAACTGAAGCTTGAACTCAACGTGGGGTGTGTTACCTGTCTCGGACATTCAGATGTGATTGGCTCACACGTTCGGTTCACGTGATCTTAAGCGTATTGGTGGCGAGCAATGGTCACTTTTGCCAACTCTGAAGCCACATCGAGTACCGTTTCTAGTCTTCCGACAAGTTGACGTCGTCGTTCATTGCGAGAAAGCCAGTGAAGGTCTGCGCGCCCCGTTGCGCTGCATCGGACATTGCTGTTGAGGTTAAGGTGCTTGTACTCGTACAGTGACATTCTCATTTTGTGACATTTGCAGCATGAAAAGATAAGCTAAGCGTGAGGTGCATGACGGTACAGTGGCAATAATTGAACTCGCGATGTCGACCTTTAACAGACGTCATGGCCTCTGATAGGATCAGAGTATGGCAGCTGGCCATGATAATGAAAGTGCCATGACCGCAGCTGCCAGAAGGAAAAAATGCACAGGACCGTACTGACACTTGATGACACATGATACATTCAGATTTTAAAGATATTTTTACAAGCCCGCGTTTCAGTGTGATTGCTATAACTATAACAAATCCCATTGATGCAATGTGTAGAGGGGTTTTTCCGAGCTCCACGTCGTGAGCCAACAGTTCATGAAAGCCCGTCTGCAGCACACGGGTGCGCCATTTTGCCGGGGGGTTGGCAGGTAGGCGCAATGGGAGCCCGCTGGGACAGGTGATGACGGCGCCGCCGGAACACAGCTTTTTTGCATACGCCATGGACGAAAATGCTTGCTGTCTGTCTAATGGTTTACCAAACGCACTACACCAAAGCCATTTCGCCACTTTTGATCTCGATATTGAGCGCAATGAATGGGAGAACGTTGCAACATGAATGACTCGCTTGGTCACCGTTCTGGTGAAGCTGCATCCACCATTTTTTTCGTGCAACTTCATGTTTTGTTCTGCCCCATGCTCAGTTTTCTTTGTCTCTCTCGCACTGTCGCCTTTGCTTCTCTTCCGCAGTTTCGTTCTCTTGCTGCATTGCTTTTTGTCCTTGTTCTTCCGAACGAACGCTCGTTGCTTCCTTTCCAGCTTTCATGTCAATGCATATCAGCAAGTGCTGCACAGGAAGGTGACAGTTGTCAGTAGAAACATACAGCACGAGCTCCGCATTGCAACTGCTCGACACTTTTGTATGACCAAAACTATGTCCTACCACTTGACGTGTGACTGGCACCGGAAGCGGGGAAGAATTGCGTCAACAGCTTGTACCAAGCCATCGGTGCCATTTATTTGTTCTGAGTCTCGCAAACCTGTAGCAGTGTAGTTGGAGCCGCACAAAGCACCCACATACCGAACCTCAGATGAAGGATGAGTGCTACAAGCGAAATGGCCAGGCTTGGTTTTTGTGCCGTTCACGTGCGGGCACGTCAATGTTTGCAAGTGTCAGGCAGAAGCAGCTCTGGTGGCTGACAGTGATGCAGCAGGCTGTGGCACTACTCTCGGACAGCACATCTTGTTTGTTGTGTTGTATCCTGGAACACGCGCTGACGTGTTTTCAAGCAGTGCGAGCGCCAAGGTGGATCAGCATGGACATGGCCGGCACGGGCACGATGCTTCAACTCTGCTCGAGGAGCAGAGGTGCTTGTGGCTTGGGCTTTCGTGGCGGTTTGTTTGTGGATGTGGTTGAACCTTCACGGCCTTCACACGTTCGCTTTGGCTCAAGCGATTTCCAATCTTTTGTTTGATTGTACCGGGCAAGTGCGGACACCGGCGCCATCGCCACGCCCTGACCATGGAGGAGAGAAGCCTGAAGCTGGTTGCAGGAGTGGTGCTTGGTGGTGTTGGCACATTGGTTGCACGAAAGCTGCGCTGTTGTGGATTATCCTGCCCTGTTTGGAACCACATTTCTGAAACTAAAGTCGCCAATACGATTTCTCAGCACCCGCACACACAGACAACACCCTGTGCTTGCTCGATTGTTGTCGGTCCCATTTTTGCATCATTCCCGCAAGTGCTGTCCTGATTCACACGGTGTGGCTCAGTTCATATGCACACCGTTCTGGTTTTCATTTGGCAATCACAAGCGGAGAAAAACGTGTGTCGTAGGAAGAGCCAGGAGCGATTGTCGTTGTCAGTCTGATGTAATTTTCCAATGACGCCAGCAAGCGATCTATGCAAACCATCGAATGTGTCATTGCTTCCTGCTGTTATTCTTTCGAGCGCACTCCCGGTGAGGAACATGGTGCCATGCAAGGCAATGTACACAGATGGTGAACAGCTTTGCCGGCAACTTCAGTTGGCGGTGTTGCTTTTTTGCCCCTGATATGATGCTAGTGCGCATCTCCGCGACGTCTTGCCCCACATGCGCGAGCATACGTAAGGGTCACAAGGGGAGAGATTCATTCCGCGGCTCCGTCGTGCGAGACCTTGCGTGCCTGTAGTCTTCCCTGCCCGCCTGCACCGGCTGCCGTCCTCGCAGCCATTTTCGTGTCAGTCTTCGCGGGTTGGGCGAGGCATTGGTGGCCCCATGTTGCGCTTGGATGCAGGAGTTGCGAACTGATGCCGGATGAAGCCGGCGAAGGCTCGCCGTCGTTCCCGAGTAGAACAGTTGCGGAGAACGGGCACTACAAAAACGGGCTCGACACCACAATGGCGTGCTCTGGCCTCTGGCCGCCAGTGTCGGTTTGTTTCGTAGACGAACGAAGAGGGCTGAGCAGCTACAACTTGGCAAACGTCGACACGGCGGCTGTCTCGAGACTCGTGTAGGATCGCCTTGCGGCTATCGCCATTACAAACAGCGGGAGCGTCCAGGGTCACGCGCGCACTTAGCATACACATTCTGCATCAAAGCACCCAAACTGTTGAATGGTGCAAGGGGTACGAGCAATGAGGCGCCGGAGGACATCACCGACGACCCAGGCCCGGGCACCGCCCGTAATCATGCTGAAAGCATTTATTCGCCCGAACCCAAAAACCGAATGTGCCTGTGTAGGGCGCGATGCGACATCAGCAAATGCTTGTGTGGAGTCGTCGGCGTGCAACACGATGCGCGCGATATTCCAGCTGTGAACGCAGAAGGCCCGGGTGCTTCCCCTTGCGCGCCCCGCCAAGGTTGGTAAGAAACAACGCTGCCGCTTGAGCCGTCATCCCGCAGCCGTCCTGTACCTTCCCACCGCACCCACCGCCTTTCCGCGTGTTGCTGCTCCGCCGAGGAGGGGCTGCTTGAACGTGCTGTTTTCCAAGCGGTGCGTCACGGTCATCGCTATTGGACTTCTTCTACAGCTGGAAGGGCGCTTGACACCATCTCGCTTTCTCCCCGGATGTCCAAGCGGACTGCAACCTTCATATTGCCCCACAGCGCAATGAGGTCTTGTCACGTTGGTAAGGGGAAGAGACGACCCAGGGCCAACGACGGACAATCCAGCCCGAGCGAAGCTCTGCAAGGCAACATACGGCCCTACATTAGCAGGCCCTGTTACAAGGTCGCAACGAAAACCTCAACCCCAACTTTAGCGCTTGCGGACATGTGACAGAGCCAGCGATTAAATCCTCTCACCAAGGATCTCGCGTTCGGAGTGGTTCACTGTGTGCCTTACGGCCGCTGTCTTCGGCATTGGACTTTGCTGCGCCTTTCTCAACCTTCGCTTTCTTGGACTTCCGGATCTCCTGGTAGAGCTGCGATCCTGTCTCAAGCAAGTCATGGAGCACGATGCCTGTGAAGCAAACAAGGTCAAAGCGCAAGCGCATGCTCGGGTCAAACCTTGCAGTGTCATTGTTTGTCAAGGAATCCGCTTCAACATTCTGCAGGCGCGGCAACCAAAAGAGATGCAGCTCTGTTTCGCGTGTCTGCAACTGCATCGCCAGCTCCATCAGGAACGTGTTGAGCGGAAATTTCGTAGTAAGCAATCTACTAACGACATGGCTGTTCACTTTGTTATCGGTTGCTGCCGAACAACGGAAGCAGCACTTGCTTGCATCTGACACATCGAAGACGACCACTGCCGCCAATGTGGCGAGGAGTTCCAGCGACGTGATCTGCCTGTAGGACTCGCCTGAGGTGTATAACCACGGCGCAGTCTTGTGGTCGAGTCGCTCGGAAAACCAGCGACACTGTTTGGTATCTGAGTGGTCCATGGCCCACCCACCTATCCAAACTTCGTCACCTTCGGCTCTCGCATCTGTCCGGAACAGCCTCCGACCGGAGCCAGTCTCCCTTGCCCCTTCAATGCTTTGGCGAGGAATAGCAACACCAGGATGATCGCCTTCGGGAGCTGGTAGCGGCGGGTGTTGTCGAGCACTGCCACCCACGCATAGATTGGCCCGAGGAATGGCCGCAAATGTCCAAGTGCAGACAGAGCAAAGGACATTCTTCCCAAAGCAGCTCGCATATCCCCAACACGAACATGACCTTGAGCAGCAGTACTTTCTAGCCAGTTAATTGCCCACGCCGCTCTTGATGCAGACAATCCTAGCGCAGCAATCCTGATGTTCAGAGCAAATCCAACCCAAGAGAACTCCAAGCCGCCGATGAACTTCTTCCAGGAGAAAGGGACGCCGAGCAAGACATACAAGAAGATCGCCATCATGATCTTAGCTACATCCTCTTTCTGCTTTGCTAACCAAAGCAGATCGTCAACGAAGATCAATTGCCAGAGTGCCCTCTTGCCCCACATATAATAGACGAGCCTGCCAAGTCCACCCACCAATCTGCACCAATGGTACGCTGCGCTGGAGATGCCGAAGGTCCCGACCTTGTTCAGCCAGATCCAGTTTGCACCACGCGCTCCAGAACGGCAGGCTTGGTACCCCGAATCTTGTTTGGCGATCTTGACAAGCCGGTGTGCCCGCCTGATGTCACCAGTCAAGCCGAAAACAGCCCCACGCAACAACTGGAGCACGGCACGCAGGTCGCCTGCCGTCGGGTTCCGTAGCTGGTCACGCAATTTGATGGCGCAGTTCACATTGACTCCGTGGGTCCCATCGTGGACGACACGATACGTGCCATCTTTCTTCTCGATGGCACCCAAAGAAGCTGCAGACAGATCCGCTCAGTACAAGGCACGCGCTTCTTGTACTGGCAACTCGATCATGGCTTCTTCCTCGGCCTCTGCGAGGAACTGCTGTTGGACCTCCTGAGCATGCTCCTTGGCGGACAAATAGTTTTCCCGATCGCAGCGCTCGGCCAACCTCTCTTCAGGATACTTCCGCCATTTGGTTTTGCGCCCGAAGACAGCTGGCATGCGAGGATTCTTCACACCGACACCAATCATAACGCCTTTTGCGAAAGAAGTGGATGAAGAGTAGAAAGCCCTGTAGTCAGGATCCCCGGCACGCTGCAGCAATTCCTCTACCGCCGCAAGGTACAGCGGCTGCCCACACGGCCGCTCACGCACTGGTAGAGATGCGCCCACGCTGTCTAGAGCCTTGAAGATTGTATTTCGACCTTCTTGTATGAGCTCCGGCTTGAAGGGGCAGGACTCAATGTTGCCCTCTGCGAATGAAGAAGCAAGCTGTTCAATGTCCAACGATCTGCAAAGCAAACTCTCCAACTCGTCCCCCAGCTCCTCCACGAACCGCAAAGAGTTGCAATCCCTGGAATCTCTCCGGCAGTGAGGTGACCAACGACCAGGAGAACAGAGACCGAAACCATCACACATACCTCTTAGCTGGCCCATGAGATAAGTGTTGAGCGGGGGACTATGACCTCGCATGCCCTCTCCCAGCTTTGCTTTGCGAAATCCATCCTCGTCTTCATCAGAGCTTGCGTCCACGCTTGCCGCTGCTGAATGTTCTGGCTCCAATTCCCAAGCCGCTTCACCGGTGCGTTCCCACTTCCATTCGTCAGGTACTACTGGAACATGTGAGATGACAGCATCCTCTGGCCTCTTCCGAGGCGCACGATCCAGTTGTGCAGCAGAAGCCCCAACCGCTGGCAACAGCTGGCTCGGCGCCCGGCTGGATAGTCACTGGGATGCCCGCTCGGCACGCTTGACATGCGGGCAAGCAGTATAAGAGTGCTCACCAAGACACCGCTGGCACACGTGGGCAAATTTGCATTCTTTCTTTGCGCAACCTTTCGCTTTGTTGAAGAAGAAGCAAATAAGGCGGCCATCACCGGCAAACTTGTGCTTCGCGACCGTCTTGAGCACGCCTTTGCCCTTGTGAGACTCCTTGCCGCCAGTCTTGCCGGCCCCTTTTCCGGGCCTCTGAAACGTGGCCTCCGGCGGCGGCGGGACATGCGGAAAATCTGTCAAAGCCAGCGTTGTTGGAGGTGCAGCGACTGCACCTTGCAAGACAAAAGCACCGAGGGAAAAGGGAGTGACCAAGTGGAACGCAAGCAAGTCCGGAGCTCGACAAGCTTTGTCAATGGCAACCCCAATATCCTTCGCTTCCCCCGTGCGAATGAACTTGTAAGCATGCTTCCGCAGCTCGGCCTCATACTTGAGCACGAGACTCCACTTAGGAGCCCGACCATCTTCCGCACGCAAGCCAGCCACTCGATCACCCAACACATGGTCAGAGAGCCGCCGGAAGCTATCCACCACAGACTCCAAAAGCCAGGAACGAGTGGCATGTTTGGAACGCACCATGTGCCACGCCAACCCAATGCGCCGATGGCGAAGCCGAAGTTCCTCCGG